GTTTATATTACATATTACTTTTGAAATATTGTCCCTTTATAGTCAAAAGTCAATCTGTGAGCGATACAGAGTTTGAGCATGGTGTGACTTCACGTGATGAGATTTTCACATTAGAAAGAAATGCATACTGGTCGTCAGCTTTAAATCTAAAAACATGGACATTTTCTAAAGTGTTTTAAACAATATCTGTTGCTTAATGTCCGTCAGGACACAACAAAACATAATTAGCCTCTTTTCCCAGTTTCTTACATTTTTTAGGTCATATGTAAATGTATGATTTTATTGGGTGTAAGTAAGATTTAGTATATCTGTTTATGTATAATATAACTTTATGGCAGTTGTTATTTCTGCATTCTGTTCTTTACAAGACCTCTGATCTGATCTGACAACATGGAAATACATTTTAACTGGAAATGATACACTTTATATTGACAGCTTTCGGTCAGGACTCAACTTCTCTACGCCTTCCCTTATTAATGATCAACTTTCCCCAGTTTCTTTAAGTCTTGGTCATAAATGTTCTTAATCCACTAAGGGTACAAAGCTTGAGTTGCAAACAAATAACACCGTAAGAAAAGACAGAAAGAAGATAGTTTGTAATGTTTATTTTTCATGTAAAGCTCCAGTTTGTTCACACACAAACATCAGTAAAGCCTGTTAAATGACTGGAAAACAAACCAGGTTTTCTGGTACAGATATGCTTTAAAACACATTTCTAGACATTTTAAGAGCACAAATTGTTAACATTTTGATGCAGAGGAAGGTCCTTTGAGGTAAAAGTCACCATGATAGTCTCCAAAGCTATACACATAATGAGGAAGAAGCATCTTAAAGTATTCCAACAATTACCAAGCAGATTTCAAAGAACCACTGAGACATCTAGCAGTATTGAAAACACTGTTTAGCACTTTAAGTCCTTTTAAATGACTTCAATCGATCTAATCTGCAGGATTGTAAGGAAGCCTACAACTTCTATAGAGTCTGAACATCCAATCTGTCAGGGGGACGAATATAAATCTGTATATCCGGCGTTTCTTCTCGTATCTCTGACAACAGACAGTTGGCTGTGTTTGCTTTAAGTGTCATTACATCTGAATATCCTGAGACTTCAGCTCTGGTTTTGGGCTCTGGTTTCACGTCCACTTTACTCAAAGTCAGAGAGATGTCTGACCTCAGAGAGCCCTATATCTCTCACTCAACCTGGTCTCACTAGAATGCGTGACTCCACCACGACTCCTTAACACCGCATGGTGTCACGAACTTTCCTACATTTACGTGTCTGCACCACGCAAACAAGGCCAATGTAAAGTGAATGAGGCTGCTTTGTCGTGGTGCACACAGGCATTTCTACAACGTCCTGCAGTGAGCTTTTTATTCTATAAAACCTACTTGTAGTAACTCACAGGAGGCTTCTTTTATTTTATTTGTATTCATAATAATTTGTATTTTTCGTCGGAATGTATTATGGGTCCGTGTACTTTTTGTCAGTTTGTTTTTTCGTTTAAACCAAAAGCCAAAAAACGAAAATACCAGACTTTTTTCGTTGTTGATTTAAAACGAAAAAACGGAAAACCAAAGCCGTTTTCCCGTTTGTGTTGTCTGAATCAAAAGACGGATAAGGAGAAAACCTAATAAAAAAAAGTCTTTCAAGTTGTGTTAGTTTGATTTTTCGTTTGAACCAAAAAAACGAAAATACCAGCCTTTTTTCGTTTTAAATCAAAAACGAAAAAACGGGAAACCAAAGCCATTTTCTGAATAAAAAAACGGATAACAAGAAGACCTAATTAAAAAAACGGTCCGGTTTTGGTTTTTGATAACAACTTGTTTCAATTTTCCGTTTTGTATTGAAGAATGAAGAAAAAAAGTCCGGTGAACCGGAAGTTAAAGAACATATTTCAAAAATAAAAGACACGAGGCTATAATGGCAATGCTGTAAAAGTTCAATCCTGGAACCCAGAAGTCTGACGACTCTTGGCCCCCCTGCTTCCGGTGCCCATGCTGACGAGGATACGTTTATTTCTGCATTCACATGCAGATATGAGTTTATAGAGAATACAAGTAATCTTTGCATAACTTTATTTCGTTTGTACTGTGTCGGCAAATCCAGTGTCCAGCTTGTCGCTGTGTGACAACGTCATGTTTGTACCTGCAAGATTTACCTGTGAAAAATATCTGCGATGTGAACAGAACTGTCGCCCTACTTTCACCTGCACCCAGCAGCAAGCGGGAGAACAATATCTCATACAGTTCACACAGTAATGGAACCGTTGTTAAGCATTATTTGTGTCCAACTAGTCTACATTATTAATTTGATGTTTGTCTAAACTGAAGCTGACAGCTGAGTTAGAACAGAAAGACAGACATGCAGGCCATAATCACTAGATGCTCAAAAGAAGGTTTACATGAACTGAATTGAAACACTGTCCATTAGTTGATTAATAAACAAGACTTCCAAGTCAAAGTTTTAGGCATTTTCATTTATAGTACGCTGTAAATATGGACTATGAATGAACACATGCAATGTGGAAACACACAAATAGGTTTATTCTCAATACTCATAACATTATCAGACACAATGACTTTACTGAGAGTGAAGATGACATGAACATAGTTACTGTATGGTACTGAAGACAAAATACAGAATGTTGCATTTACCTCTTCCTCTCTCTCCAAAATTGGCCTTGTTGTGCACAACAAAGTGTTCAAGCTCAGGGGCCGTATTCACAAAGCATTTTATCTTACCGCTAGGAGTGCTCCTAACTCGCGCTAAAACATTTTACGTAGGAGTTTTTTCTTAAAAGTTATTCACAAAGCCGCTGAGACCTACTCATACTAAGGATAAATCACTAAGAGTGAACTAAGAGTGACGCGCCGTTGCTATGGATGACGTCGATTCTNGAATCAGCCTCATAACTTCCGGGAGACATCGGCGCATTACAGTTGCACCTCTGAACGCCCACGATCACCTCTCAGCATTGGCAGAGATCTGCCTCAGCGAAACGAGAGACATGTTTTAACGCCCACCCCCGTTGACATTCGCGGTACAGAGGGCTTTGAGGGGAGCCAGAAGTTGGAGTACCAAACACCGCTGCCAAAATCT